ACAAATTATATTCTGTGATTTGCATTACAGTTGTTGTGCGATAAGGCACATAGAGCATAAAATGCCTGAGTGTAGCAGTGAATAATACTGCCTACAATAGGGTGACCCGGTCGGGAGATTCTATCCAGCAGTAGAATGTGTATGTAAACTAATTCGGATATACCTAATAATGTATCATATTTATTATTGTAACACTAGTTCAAATATTTTTCTGTTGATTGCGGTACACGGGTCTCGTTAAAGGTGTCCGAGACAAGCGAATGGAGAATTGGGAGTCGGTCCGCGCGGTCCTAGGACTTTTCAACAGTGTCAGACCTATATTAAATTTATATTTCTTTTCGGTTTTGTTTGAAAACTGTTAGCTTCTGTCAGAGATTCTGATCAAAGATGTAGAAATATGAACACGATTTATTACACGATCACAGAGTATCTAGGGTTCGAACTTTGCCAGTGTGTTCTATTGATAAAAATGAAAATGGGAAATGTGTAGCAAAATATTCACAGGTGTTTCGTTGAAAGGTTGTGGTAAATTTTGTGCATAATAAAAAAAAGACGTACGTGTACGATCAATTTCCTGGCTTTCTATGCCACCAAATCTTTTGCACTTTTAGATTCTTACTTATTGGAAAATACTTTTTATAGTTCGTGGCAAAATGATTCGTGTTTCTTAAAAATAATAATATCCGATCTTACACTTTCGGATTTCTGCTCATTGGAAAATATTGTATGATTTTGTATATTTATTATGTATTTCATGTAAAATTATTTTCTTAAAATTGTAAGCATTTAGCTCAGAAACAGGTGAGACAAAAACCTACACATTCAGAATTCTACGTATTTATACGAAACGAATTAAATGTCAGGGAATTGCCAGAAAATTCAGTTTATAGTACATCAATCACAAATTTTAAGCTATAACATATATACGACGACATTTCAAATTGTATATCTTTGTTATAAACATTTAACGAAGCATTCCAGCTACATGAAATTTCTCAAATGTATTATTCTCGTCTATGTAACACACTGACAACTGTCTGAGCACCGTGTTAGAAAGCACGACATGATTATCGAGACAGCCAGCTCCCAGTTTGATTTCTCTCACTTGGGCACCTTCATCAGCCACCATAGATAAGTCACTTGATTCTTTCTGCGAGCGTTCTCGACGTGATCGTTTTAACAAGCAAAAATTGAAGAATTCACTAGTCATGACAGAGACTCGGGAATGAGAAAACCGGTCTTCCTTCTCTCTCTCTCTCTCTCTCTCT